TATCACTTGTGGAATAATCCTTATGCACTCCTCATCTTTTAGTAATATCAACGTAGAACTTAAAATAAATTTAATAAACGTTAATAATCCATGTTTAATTATTGCATCTTACAAGTAAATAAACGAAAAGCTTTCAGGAAAGAAGCTTTCAAGAATACAAAAAGTAATGTGGCTTTTGGGCTTATATAGAAACTACCTCTTTGTACAGAAATTATCAGAAGAATGAAACAAAACCTTGGTCGTGAGATATTTTTGAAGCAAAATGTCTAATAGTATTATATGGAGTTTTGGACAACATTAAAATGCTTCAATCAAACATAAAATCTGAACGTTAATTAAGTTTGTATCTGAAGGCAACGAAAGTTTCGTTTGAGAACACATAAGAGTTATGTTTGAACAGATTAGGAGATTTCTTAAAGTCGGTGAATGTAACGAAGGATCAGCAACAAAACGACAAGACAAGCTTAAATATTCGCTGCGCCTGAGCCATGATAACTAGAGGGAGAAGATCAGATTTACACGAGGGAAAAGTGAATCCTACAAACAGTTCGGATGTCCGAATGAACAAGCTTCAGTCAGTCAGCTACAACGTAGGACCAGGCACATATATGCATCGGTCAAAGTTGCCATACCTCGTTAGCACAACAAGATGAACACTGGATTCATAGAAATAGTTAATTTAGTGGTGGTAGTAGTATATAAATTATAGGTTGTATATAACGATATAGTTTAGGAAGGAAGAACGCTATGAAGTAATTTTAATCTCAAGGTTCAAGGGAAGATAAAGAATGTGTACGCCTACGCCATTGTGATCGATTCTGAGCCATGTCACCCAGAGTCTCCAACCATTGGTTACGATAGTCACGCGGACCCCAACCAGATAATCTGCATCTACCAACATGGCTCAGACTAGAAGTTAGTGACTTCAAGCACTGATGCCATGTTTGGTTTGGCCGCCCCTAACTCTCTTCCAACCATCCCCTATACTAGTCAGCATAACACGTCGTGGTAATCGGTGTACAGGCATACGTAACATGTGGCCTAACGATCTCAGTCGATGAAGATTCACAACCTCATCAACTGATTTACTATCATTCCTTAATATCATGTGTTTAACCTCACTATGACTTAACTGGTGACCCCAGAAGATGCTGGCAATATTTCTAAGATATCTGTAAACAAATACTAGTAGCTTACGAGTATCTTCTCTTAATGGCCACGTTTTGCAGCCGTAAAGTAGAACAGAACGAACTGCCACACAGTATACTCGTCCCTCAATGGATAGACGGATATCTCGCTTTTGACATAGGTGGAGTAAGTTGGCAAAAGCTAAACGAGCTTTTTGAATCCGTACAGAGGTTTCGTCAGACACCAACCCATTAGGGCTGATGAGACTTCTAAGATAAGTGAAGTTATCGACGCGTTCGAGTAATTTACTCCCTATCCTTAGTTCAGGTGTTGACGCAGTCCTATTCCTGAAGCAACAACTTGCATTTAGAGAAGAAGAAACGCATCCCAAACATAATTATTGAGGCTAGTATTTTAGATGCTATATTAGTCAAATTAATCTCTCTATGGTTATCACAGGATGATTTTGGCCGCTTCATATATATTGGGACAATCAGAGATTGTGACCAGTAGGATGGGATTACGTCCAACTCCCAGATTTTAGTCAGAATATTCGTCAACCTAATTGCTAAAATTGGGCCACCATATTTAAAGACCTCTGGAGCCAATCCATCTGGACCAGCTGCTCTTCCTCGTTTCAGATTAGTTATAGCCTTTTGAACTTCAAGTAGGGTCGGGGGACTCACTTCAATCTTCCATTCAGGCTGTCTGGGAATAGTGGGTTGTTGTGCAGTAGCTGAAGACCAGCTGAACTGCTCCTTAAAGTGTTCCACCCATCGTTCTAAACGTTTGGGTTGAGAGCAGATAAGGGTTCGTCTTTTTTCGAGATCGTTTCACTTACACTTGACTTCTTAATTCCGGTTTCTTTTATTAGTCTGAATAGTTGCCTGGTGTTCCCTACAGCCGCTGCCTTTTCCATCTCTTTTGCTCTCGTTGCCCATCACTGCTCACGACCGTTCCTTAGACTTTTAGTCGACCTACATTTGATTTGTATACGCTCTTCGTCGTGTTCAGAGCCTGATGGGATGAATTTACGCGAATCCATCAGTGAAATAGACTTGGGAGAAATTCACTGGTTTTTTTGGAATCCTATGGTTTAAATGACTAATAGATGTTACTGCTGTTTCCACAGCTGTTCGTATGTCTTTTCAAGCAGCATCTGGGTCAGTCTCGTTTACAGAACTGCCTAGATGTGAACTCAGTTGTTTCTGGAATTCACATTTGGCTTTCTCGCCCTCCAGTTCAATTCTAATGAGTCTTCTTAGTGTAGTTTTCCTGCGTCCATTGAGGCGCAAACAAATGCGCGCTCGTATTAAAGCATGATCAGATTCTAAACAAGTATTCCAATACGAGCGACAATCTCCTATTGAGCCACTTCAACGATGGCTGATGGCAATATGGTCTATTTGAGTCCATCGTTGGTTTGGTGCAGGTGGTCGCCATGTTAGACGATGTCTCTCCTTATGCTTAAAATTTGTGTTTGCCAAAAATAAACGATTGTCTGACGATCACCATTATCTGTTCGTTGAGCCGGAATACTAAAATACCAACCTAAATGTCCTTCTTTTTATTTAAGCTGCCTACCTGGGCATTAAAGTCACCCGCTACAACTACTATGTGTGAGCGCTTAGCTTTCTGAAGAAGCTCAGAGAGCTTTCTGTAAAAGTCATCTTTCACTTCATCATGGCTGCAGTCAGTGGAAGCGTAGGCAGAAACGACGAAAAGGCAACGACGTGTGTCCCTGTCCTTCCGAGTTCTTACGGAGCCATTCAGCCGGACAGTACACAGGCGACTGTTAACGGGTATCCATTCTAGTAGTGCCTGTTCTGCCCTCGTACTAAGTGCTATGCCTACACCTGCAAGTTCACAAGAACTAGTCATGGGGTCGCCAGATACCGAAAGAGGAAACCGAGAGAGGAAGTTTAGTGTTGAAAGTTGAGGTAGAAGGAACAGTAGGAAGTGAAGGAGGAGATTGATTATGAATACAGTGGTCTTGAGTGCTGTTACAGGTATGAGGGAAGTTATCACTTCCCGATTGCCCACACCGTGGAAGGGTTTTTCTAGAAGTTCCTTAAAAGGAAATTGGGTTAGAAGTGGTCTTAATGACCTGAGAGCGTGACCGCAGTGCCCAAGGGACAACTGCTTGAGGTCGGTCACACACGACCTTTTTGTGTTAGCTCCGTTCTTCAAAGGACCTTACCGCCGGAGACGGATATCCGTGGGATAAGGAGAGGTGTGCATTTTTAGGGTCGACCTTTTCTAACCCCACCCCTCCTTGTGGGAAGGCAGCAGCGCTGTCATGCTGGTTGTCTGAAGGAAACACCTTATTGCTGCCACACCTCTGTACAATCAGCAAAACGACTTCGCCTTCGAACCTTGGGATCGCTGCTTTTAGTCTTACCGCTCTTCAACCGACCTGTCTGGCATGGTAGGACCTCGAGGAACGATTGTTCAAGCCAGCATAGCTCGATTGCTTCCTCACGATAGACAAGCCCGACCACCACGTCAAGGTAGCAGCAACAAGCATACAAGCATACAACTAAACGTATTTATACAGTATAAAAATACCATGTAGAAGTGTTACAATATAGAGTAATAATAGAGGAAACGGACCGATGACATTTAAGATCGTTCCAAGTGAGAAACACAATCTGAAGGTAAAAATGGGCGTTTTCGGTGAGAAAATGAAAAATCCAAATTTCCAAAATAAAACTACGAAAATAAGACGTTCACAAAGTGGTTTCTGAGGATCTAGAATCCTCAACAGATTGAAATATAACTGAAAATGTTTTGTGAACATTTAATATAACTCTATTGAGGAATAAGAAAATCCAGATAATTAAATTGTATATTGTTTTTTATCGATAAAACAATTCACATTATAATGCTAACATGACTTTTGTGAAATAGGAATGTTCTCATGGGACATAAAACAATATTGAATACCTGATTACATGGTTACTAAAAATTCTCAGTTAAGTAAATATCAATACACTGAATAAATAGAAAATGTAATGATAATTTAAAGATGAGAATATTCATGCAGTGAAGGGAGCAATTCATGAAAGAAAACCTAGAGAACTTTATTTAGGTTATGGTTGGATAGATTTTCCTACTGAATCACTGTTTAGTGACAGATATTATGGTAGTCATCAACATGTACTCTGTCAAAGTGTAAATATGATTACTCCAGTAATTCGTATGCTGATCAGATGGTATTATTTATTTTATATAATAATAAGCAATTGTATTGAAAAAAAAACAATCTGTAGATAGATTGAATATTATAGGTATCCTTTCAGATACACTGATCAATTCAATTCACTATCATGATCATTCTTTTCAGAAGTCGGTCATTTCTACCTATTTCAAAGATCATCAATGGACAAGAGTGATTCAACCTACTATAAACGATCCATTATAGTGTTAACATCACTGAGTATGTACTGATCTAATTGCTCGTATTGGAAATCGAACATATTCAATAATTTGTGATAAATAGAACTTATGGTTAATTTTGAACAATCACTAACAGCAATTTGTCTATCCATCTATTTACGTTATTTCAGAAAATTTATATGCATTGCAGTTCGTTAACGTCAAACAAATTTATCTAAAACTACTCCTTATAATAATAAATTCGTGTGCATAATCTTCGTTTGGTTTTTTTAAGGATTCACAGAAAAAAATTTGTTTTAATTAATCGATAAAAATATTTTCCGAATTCTTCATTCGAAAAACGTTTACATCTAATAAATAGTAACTTGGATGTCACAGTTTCAAATTTCTATACTATGAACTAGATTATTTGAAAATCTAATAGCTACATAACAGTAAGAGGGGAGGAGGAATGAATTAAGAATATTTTTTACCTCAGCAATTCTTTTCAATCGTATACCAACACGTCCATTTATTTTTTTGACTAAAATAAATCTAATTTTTGCTAACATTGTCCTGTAATTTAAAAAAAAAATTAAATAAGTTTTGTAATAAAAAAAAAACTATAATCAGGTAAGCAAAGATGAACAGTGGCTAGCAGTAGAATCAAGGACGCGCGTTTCATCCTATTTGGGACTTGTGGGCTAGATGTACCTGGATCTCACAGTTGATGTTCACTCTGAGACTCGAACCCACTACCGTTCGCTCCATACGTTATCGCGTTATCCACTTAGATACTCATCTTTGCTTATAATGCTTGTGAATTAAGGCCATATTGAGTCAATACGCACATTATGCTAATAAGAGACTGTTCAATTGCAGTCCTAAACATCCATGGGAAGATTCAGACCAACAATACCAAGTGAATTATAATCAGGTAAGTTTCAAGCTTTCATTAGCTAATTAAACAAATCATTTCAATAATTAATTTATCTTTTGTTATATACTATTGCGTAGAAAAAATTGTATTTTTGACATTGCGTGACTTAATGTAAGACACTTCCTTAGAGTAAATAATTAATTGAATCAAATTAACATGAGTTTAAATAGTAAAACGGAAATAATACAGAACATTTCTTGTACAATCAAAATCATAATAGGTATGTATATGCCGCTGTCAAGTTATACTTTATCAAGATGGGTTCGTATGACCTGTCACTGTATTAATTTGTGTATCAGAGTGTGGGTATGGAAAATGTATATGTTTGTAATATCAAATAGTGTGGTTGAAGAAGTGGCTTACATTAAGTCAAGAAACACCAGAAATACAATTTTTCTACTCATTAGGATATAACTCCTTACCAAATGCTCAATTTATTTGAAACTAAGTTCAACCTTCACATTGATATCTACAAATTGCTTTCACCTTTTCACATCATGAAAATAACGCTTTTTAATATTTCAAAATAATTGGCACAGATCTTTCTCATAATAGATGCCTTTGCAAAAAAGAAAAAAATATTGATTACGATTATCTTCACTTACTTTTTACACCATAAATAGTTTATGCATATAATGTTTAATGTATCATCATACAACTCAGTAATAAAGTATAAGTTGGTGCATATAGATTTGGGTAACCATTTAAACGTGAAGATAAATTATGCTACCAATAACTGCCTTAATCAAAACAGGCAAAGCTGGTTTAAATTCATAACTCAATAGTTTAAACACATGCTTCAATTACTTAGTCACTACTCTATGAGAGTAAAGTTTCTTTGACATGGTAAGTGTGGGATCATTGAATTCATTATGAAAAAATAACATCAAGGTTATTATGATAATTATATTTCTCATGTGTTACATTCCAAAGTCATTTTAATGTGTACTACTAATGGTTACATAAAGCAGGTAAAACGAGTTTAACGGGAAATTGACAAGATTCTAGATTAGTAGCTTTTAAACCGTTTTTCAAATCGAGGCGATATGTAGTCATAAATTGGCATTTGAAGAATTGGCCGGAACCGGAAATGACTCTGCGTATCTGTGCCATTTTGTTTAGACATCCTAAGTAGTGGCGATCCAAGAGAAACATATCTTGCTACACCTGATAGTCTTTGGTTTGATAAATCAGTTGCTAAACTCTTCTAATATGTTTCAAACTAGAACGAAATGGTTGTTTAACGCTTTCTGATTTTTCAGGGATTCTTCTTTCGAAGTGTCATATCATTCAATCTTTTATATTCAGTTGATAAAAAATGTTAATTGATACAGTTCGTCAAACAATTCAACTAACATGAGCATTTTTTAACTTCTATGCTATTGAAAAATTCCGAATGAAATACACTGAATTCATCCTACTTTTTCCATACCATTTCATTGAAAGAAGAAATGTATGCTTATGACTAACCTACATTAGTAGTTCATTTGAGTTAATCAACGTGTGACCATCATTGCTGAGCAGTATATATGTATATATATATTCTGAAAATAAGTATAGAAATTTACGACCGAAATTTGAACGGCCTAGATAAAACTATAATTGTTCAAACCAATAAACAAGCAGTAAACTCAACTTCATAATTGCTTTCGAAATGATCTAATAAATATTTTAACTAAAATGCCCTACGGAAGAACACCAGCGTTTGGCAGAGTTGGGATCGCTGAATTGTCCAGTTAAATCACGAATCTCTCACTATTTATTCAGACATCATCAGCACAAAAGTATTTAGTAAATTAAATCTTTATCAGATGAACTTATCAAAGCATAAATCAGCAAAGGTTTTTCATTTCGCATGAGGAAAATATTAAAAAAATTGAATCCGAACATAATACCACTGTAAGGCTCTCGTCAATCTGATATTCAGCGATTTCATTATTATACTAACTTCATAATTTTATTAAAATGTATTAAGTGAACCCTTTAAAAAAGGATTTATAGAATAGTTATGGAATGAGAAAAACCAACCTTGGACGATATGCAATTTTCAACTGTCGTGTTGAACGAACCAACTGGTTGATACTATTAATAGAAATTGATTGTAATGAAATGCCATTTAAATGCAGGATTTCATCACCAACTTTTAAACCAGCTTGTGATGCTAATGAACCCGGTAAAACAGTAGTTAAATATGTACCCTGTAAGTTAAGAAATGTATAGAACAAGATAATTAAAATAATTTATTTTAAGTATGGCAATTAAAATACTGAATTTAACTCAGATTAATGAAATTTAAATTTTGTAAATTTTAATATGATATCGAGATCCTGATTCAAATATCGTAATTTCTAATGATCAGAGTTTAGTTTCTAGGTATACTTGGACTAATAATTTTACGATGAAACTTCACCTTATCAATAATCCCAGTAATTTAACTTGAAATCCAAAATCAGACAAACTTCTGATATTAAGTTAGATTTTAAAAATAGTAGTTTTCAAACCACAATGCAACTAAGTTATTAAACTTGGGCTCTAACTCATTAAAAAGATGATTTCCAAACATGGTTACGGGATTCAGATTAAGAAAGAATGATTAACTTATCAGAATTACGATTCTAAATTTATATTGTATTCTGTTAAAGATTTACTTACTACATATAGCTATTTGTTTACTGAATAAATACACTGTCACAGAGAGCTATGTCAATTTGTCGAAAACAATATCTATATATTTGTATGATAGTCAGACGTTCTAGACTAAACGTCACAAAATTCCAACCAAATGTACTCAATCTGATACCATTTTCAGAAGACATAGAACTACGAAAACAGAAGAACTTCGTAACAAAATACCGTATTCACTAACTCTTACATATTTAGGTAATAAATAATTTTTATCTAGTACTTATTAGTAAAGTCAAACGACAAAAAATAAGTAACTGTAATTCATTTGATACTGAACTATACAGAACGAATAAAAGGATAATATATGGAATTATCCATTTATGTTAACGAAAACCGTAGGGGGAGGTTATTTGAATAATATAAAGAATTACTGTATGGACTTGAGTGCCAAATGATTGTCCTCTTACATGAAAATCGACTAAAGACTTTGAGTTTGTCTCATTATAATAAAAATGAGTATGTAAATAAAGTTACATAAATGAAATACATAATAAAACAAAACAAAGTTCAACATTTTAGACAGATCCACGCTAGTTGAATATGTTTCAATGATCAGATTTGCTAAATCATAAGGTTAGACGAAAACAAAATAAGTAATCTGTAATATATATATACTAAAAACGGATTGACAACAAGGTTCAGTGCTTGCGATAAACTGTAAACTTGTCATCTGAACGTATTTACATTTGTTTGAATACGTTCAAATGAAAATTTATGATTTTTACCTCCTTGTGCAGTATCGCTAGCCACCAAGTTATTCGGTCACTAAACAGAACATTTTTTCAGTGGGTGTTATACATCAATATCTCGTGTTGTTGGGCAATATATTTTTCCAACCCTGATATTTAAAATTGAACATATAAAATGGCTTCTGGAATACTTATAGCCCGAATAAATCTTATGGAATTTTATTAAATCATGAGTTGCTGTTTGAAATAACGGGTACTTAGACCACCGACAATCTTGTACACACATATTTATGATCACCCTTAATAAAAAGAGCGCACAGTTTTCAGTGTCACCTTCCAAAATCTAATACGTCGTACATAAAAGAAATATTACAGTGTCTATTACTGAGCCCAAATTTCAACAAAGACTGATCGATATTATCAAAAATAAACACAACGAGAATAAAAAAGAATCCCATAATGAATGAAACAGCTAGATGGTAAAAATGTGTTGGGTTTTTTCAACCAACTATTTACATGACTAGAAATAGAAGTAAACAATGTAAAACGGCTGTGTCTATAATCACGTTTATAAAAATAAATTTCAGTGTGTGGTAACTTAGAAATGAAATACTTTGAAGGTTTACAGTTAAGACATGTCTTTATTTTTTGCATGATGTGTTTCTGAATTAGACCTGTTTAACACTTTCCTCTCATGATGCCTGCTGATATAATTCTTGTTGTGGACATTAGTTTATGATTGTCCAAATTTTCTATCGTGAGTAAAACAGGTTGTTACTTAATACAAAAGTATGATACACATATACTGTATTACGAGTGATTATCTGAAAATGTATTATTTACAAACCGATTTTAAAGAACAGATTTCCTATGATTGTTGCTAACATACGCTGAGCAATAGATTTTTACTGACCAAATCAAGATAATACAAATCCACTCCTAAATCCTCCTGAGCTAACCAAACTCAAAATTAGTGAACAGAGCAAGAACAAAGATTTAAGAAGAACAGCATGGATTCATTTTATTTCGTTTGGGTCTCGTCAGCTGCTTAAGACCTGTGATATTGAAAAGCCATGATTAGAAAATGGGTTTAAACTACATGAAAGAGTTTAGTTGGAAGTTATTTTGAAGATACATCAGTATATTATAGCAATGGTGTAAATAAATTTAATAGACTGGATGTTGTAAATATAGACATTATGTAAAATAACTTTCTACATTGGTAGTAGAAAGAGTTCAAAAGGCCAGAAATAAGTGATTACATATGGAGTAGACGCTGATAGGAATAAAATGAGTAAAGCCCAGTTAATGAAATAAGATTACTCATCTAGAAGGCAACCGAAATAAAAAGACATACTGATATAATGAATTCAAGAAAGAGTTAAAAAATAAAACCTTTTTTAAGATGCAACAAAGGAATATTTGTCACCAAGGCAAGGAAGATTAACAAACATCTCATTTTGAACACATAAATCAGGTTTATGACGGCTGATAGCGACGGATTCAACAAACTTCAGAAGACTGTACTTTGGTTATTTAATAATCAACTTGAAAGATTATAAGGTATCGATCTGATCTCCAGTATCCAAGAGATGTTTGGTAATTGTACTGTTTAAAATCGTTATTTCACTTGTTCTAAGGTTTTTCAGAACATGCTTAAAACATCTAATATATTCCCTACTTCCTGTTTGACCAATCTAGCTGTTTTGATAGATACACATAAATTTATAAACACAGTTAGCGGTAACATGAAAGGGATGCTTGTCGACCTTTGTTTGGGTTGTCGAACATGTTTTATACAGAATAATTAGTTTTGCTGCCGGGTGAGTTCTGGCTAATGTAGTGTTGAACCTCCTGCTGATTGTGTTTGCGACGTCATAACCTTTGAAGTTCAAATTTATAGATACGGTTTTTTATTGACTGCAGTCAGTTCCATCTTATTTTCTTTGGTGGACGGTAATATCAAGACTCTGCGTAAAATTATTAGTTATACTAAATAGTTGTTTGGAATACACAAATGTAAATTCGTAAAACATCGGCCATCATAACAGACTTCACAATAGCGAGAGAAAAGACAAACACTTATTTTTTTCATACAACCTGGTCAGTTGAAAAATTTAAACAGAGCAAGAACAATATGGTGTGCAGAATAAATGAATTCATTCTATATCACAGTTAATCATCAACTACATGCACTTAAAATTACCATTACTAATATAAATATAATTATTAACTAACATTTAACATACAAGAGCTTGAAAAGTTTTAATAAATGTTGGAAACGTGGCCAAAATCATAATGCTCAGAAGAATAGGGATATTAAGTGTATGCATAAACATGGTTATAATCGATATGTAATTATATGTTGAGAGGAAATAATTAAGAGTTCATGTAGGGGTAATGAAATTAATAAGTAATTGAGTAATCGCTCAACATGATAAAATAAACCAATAAGTGAACCTGGAAGCACCGGGTGGCCGTCTCGTCCCTGTATGAGACTCACCGGAATTGCTCACCCACGACGCTGCATACGGGACTCTAGCCCAGAACCTTCGGTCTTGCACGCTGGATCATGGACGCGCACTGCTTATGAGTCCGGTGTTAGGACGAGACGGCTTTCCTTTGTTTCCAGTGTTCTAGCCTAGATGGACTCATGAATTTAGTTAGTAAAATTACCACAATCTCCACAAATCCCCATTCTGATAAGTATATGAACATCAATCAGATTATGTGAGAGATGAATATCAGAAAATGAAAGAGTAATAAAAGGTTGGTGACAAAGTCGGAAAGAAAAGATTAAAATTATCAAAGGTTAACAGACAAAAATTTAATCGTCATGGTAGAGAAGGGCTAATCTAACTCTCCTTGTTTATACATAGGTCAGATCGGTAAGCTTCGGTAGTAATCGCCTCTGCAAAATGGTGTAAGATAGGTGTTTTTTGTCTGTTGATTATTCTGAATGCATTATTTGCATTCACTCCATGTATACTAACGAGATGTTTAATGCTTTCACTTGTAAAGATTTAACTCTCACTCAAACATAGGTTCCTATGAATATGTTCAGGAAACGTTGTAGAAGTCTTTCTCTCTATCCTTCCTATATATTTGCTACCTCAGGCGCATTTAGAATAAATTCATTTTATTTTGCAAACTTTGTTGTTCTTGCTCTGCTTAAAATTTTGAATTACTTAAACGTGTGTAACTGTGTAAAATAGTTATAAACTGCATAACTACTATAAATTATATTTTCTTAAAGTACATTTCCTTCACAAGGTCAGTTTTTCATGAGAAAGATTTCAAACATAGACCCATTGAGAAAAGAATTCATTTCTACTCTACAATATTTCTGATTCTTTTATGAATAATATTTATCAACTGAAGTAAATTGATTCACATGAATATACTCTACTTTTTCATTGGGTCAAGTATAGACCGTAAACAAGTGATATAAAATGAAAACAATAACTTTATAAGTAGTAGATTCATTACTTATTCTTATTGTTTTCTGCATTATAAGAGCCATTTCATTGACAAAAACATACACAGTTAGTCAATTTAGTGTTAATACTTCCATTCAAATGAATAGAATAAATAGATTGAAGATATTTGTTAATAAATAAATAAAACTACTTTAGAAAGGAAAGAAGAAGAAAGAAAAACACTCTTTACCATGAGTTCATTCTATAATATCAGAAAAACTGTTTTTATTTTCATGATAAACTTCATCACTACTGTTTTTATTCTGATTGTATAACCATTATGGTGAAAGATCCAAGTAATTTATTAACAACAAATATTGTAAATGTTATAATTTTATAAGAAAT